TGAGGAGTAGTAGGTGAGAGTTCCCTCCAGGTGAATGTATCAACATTAAAACTGTACAGGCTATTATGATAACAGCTATCATGATTACACTTTCCACCAAAATAAAATATCTCATTTCCAATGGCAGCAGATGCATAGCCCAAGATACCTAGTGGAGGATTACCAGTGGTGGGTTTCTGCTCCCATCTACCAGTAGGTAAATGGTATACCTCCATTAATGATGACAGTGCTTTCTTTTTATCATTATTGTGTACTTTAGGGAGATCAGACTGGTCCCCACCCCACATATATAAGTAATCTCCTACTCTTACTGTAGAATGCCGACTCCTCTCCACTGGTTTATAGTCTATAGATAACAAGAGGTAACAGTAACTGAGTCAATCAAACATAAATAACTCCTCACCTTTTGCTGCCATTGTAATGTATACTATGTCCCAACTGAGAATGGACCGGAAGTGGAAGCAGCTGCATTGGAATTTGAAAAATGTAGTTACGTCACTAATGACGTTTATAATGATTTCATATATAGAGATATATGAATCATATGACGTCATATGACGTTTCATATGACGTCACAGCATGTGTCATAATTACTTCCGCATGGCAAAATGGTACTTTGCCATTCATTTGTACAGCGATATAAACTCTTCTGGCAGGCTTCCTTAACTATGAGCATGGCTAATTCATGCTGCTCTTTCATTTTCCTGGACTTAGGGATGTAAAGGAAGCAACAAGTCCTCGGATAGAGAACCAGTGAAGCGGCCAAATTGAACACAGCATTGCCTTGTTACTCCTGTAATTATTGCTATCGCTACTTTTCTGCTTACTACTGCTAGAATTGTACTCCTTTTCTGCCTTGTGCTGTGTAAAAGCATAGATATTAGAGTACATAAAGAAGTTATGAAGAAGCAACTTTACTGCTGTAAACGAATGAGGCTCATTAATTTTTGCCATACGGAAGTAATTATGACGTCAAAAGTGACGTCACGGCAACCGCTCTATAGAGAAATGTCCAATGTTTTGGCTGTGTTGTTTTACTCTTAAAACAGTCCTGTTCTTCCTGATGAGCAATACAATAGCTACTGGAGCCAACTAGTCTTAATAAAGGCCATCATTATCAGAAGATCTTGCTCTATTAGCATTTTAAAAGAAGAATTATCATTTCGGGCGCTCGACCACATGTGCTTATGTAAACTATGACATCTAGAACGTCATTGCGGTTAGCTTTGGTATGCCATTGGGTTTATAGGGCAGTAGGGAGAACCTGGTTCTCAGGGTTCCCAAGGGCTGAGAGACCCAAGACCTGAGATCCTGAAGCGGCATTGGGCGACTAAGAACCTGTGAAAGTCTCATCCTTATCCCACATTCCTATAAAAAGTTATTCCAGTTTTTCTTGGTACGTCCAAACAATAAGATATTAGAGTAAATGAAAGGGATTGGAAACAGGGCGTAGCAACAGGAAATGCTAGTTGGGTTACCACGTGACAACCATCAGTGTTTTGCCATCTCCTCCATTGGTGAAGTTGCTCTGGAATAGGGTTGAGCCTATTATTCTCATAAATTTTCCCATTATTCTTTCTGGAAATTCTCAATATTTTCCCCCATTATTCTTTTCATTTTATCCTATTATTCTCAATTTATTCTCAATAATTTTCTCAAACAATCAATTTTCACATAAGAATTGCATTCCAGCAGTGTTTTACAAATAGGTCTTCCAAAAAACACTAGCCAAAAATTTTTTAATTTTCTTCTGCAATCACCATTGACCTCAACTCCACCCATTATTCCACTATTATTCCTATTTCAACCCAATTATTCCAGCATTATTCCTCATATGAGGAAGCCCCTATTATTCCTAAAATTATGCTGGAATAATAGGCTCATCCCTACTCTGGAAGGATTTCGAAGGAAATTTGTGTTGCTCCAGGATAGCGCTTGCTTATGATCTATAGCCTATTGCACAAAGAATTTTTACAGCTACCTACAGCAAGGTTTTTGTCTCTGTAAAGCTATTTTGCAAACAGTTATAGGTACAACAAAATCAATTTTTTTCGATACACTTTAGCTCTTGTAACAAACTCATACTTCATAGATTCTAACTCTAACCTGTATAATTACTTTCAAAAGTGTAAGCTTTTTCATATGATTATAATGGTTTCCAGTTTTACTTTAGCATGTTTTGAGAAAAGGGAGAATAATGAAATAAATGGCATTTTAAGAGTAAAAATGGGCTGTATCATTAAAACTATAACATTTTCTGTACAATAGATAACAGTAGTGTTGAGAGGAAACATCAGGCTTCTTGATGCATCAGTTTCACTTAAATGAGAAGTTGAGAACAGTCCTTCGCCAGATATTGCAGTCGCGACGCCAACGGTAAGCTCACGTGAATTTTATTTTCCAAGTGACGTCATAATGGCTGCCAAGTGATGGATAAAGCTGTGTTTAGTTTTGTGCAGTTTACAAGATGGTGGGTAGTCTATAGCTCTAAGAAGCAAACTCAAACTTGAAGCAAAAAGGTATAGAATCAATTGGTTAGTTTTCAGTCTGAAATGTAAGTATATTTTGCTTGTTATTGTCGCTGTTTGGAAAATGGTGTACACTATCTAGGTATATAATAGTACTGGGACTGGCCAGAACAGCTCAGAATTAGGCATGCAACTGGCCTATCAGTAGATCTTTGTGTATGCAAAGTTTCGTTTTGATACTGTTGTCTAGAACGACAGTTGCATCCATAATGTAGATTCAGCCTGCATGGTCCATTCTTTCATGCCATATTTTGACTGTTCTGTTCCTTTTTTCTACAGATTCCACACTCAGGATCATTAATCAAGTCATTTTACCTCAATAGAATTGTTTGAAATCCTTTTAGAGCTAGATTTTATACTTGTCATTATAGTCATATTATGTGCCATTGACTTTCAGAGACCACAGCATCCTTATTTCTTGCTAGAACAACTGTAAACTTCTGGAGTATATTCTTCTAGCTACTATCTTGTTGTAAGCAAATGGACAAGAAGCTGGAGTTGTCTAGAACACTGTACGCATCCGGTAAAGTCAAGGACATCAGTTGCTTGCAGTTCTGTTATAGTTTATTTAAACTGGTTGATGTTTTTCATGGTGATAAATATGTATGTTCTGTGTATTGTATGCAAATTTCATAGTAAAACTATTAAATGAAAAATAAATATAAAATAAAGTAGCAACTCATTAATTATTCATACTGTCAAGTGTATTACAATAAAATTATACAGGCACTTATGACTTCCGGTACCGTTGGCGTCACGACTGAAAGGTTCTCTCTACCTTCTAATGCTTCTAAAGAAGTCTTTAGACAGTATCTCTATGTTCTCTTGCTGTTATAAAGCACAAAAAGTTCCTCCCATGTATAAGCCACCAGTTTTTTCATGGATATTAGAGTATACATTCATTATATTCATTTACTCTAATATCTATGGTTTTTGTTTGCCGTGGCCACGCCCACTCACGTAAAGGAGCATGGGCGGGTACCGGGTGCATAGGCGGCTGCAGCATAGATAATAGAGTACAGTATACTGTATACATAGATAATAGTATACTCTATTATCTATGGCTGCAGGATTTCACTGCAAGTAGGGCAAAGGTGTGGCTGAAAGTGGGAGTGGTCAAAAAGTAGGTGTGGCCAGACCA